GCAAACACACATCATTCCTCTAGCTCCTGAATGTTTCCTGCCCCCACTACCATGGCCCAGTTCTACTTTACAAATCCGGCTACAATGGAGAACACACATTGGTATGGATAACAGCCCTCAACACATGGAACACAGGACAGATAAACCCTCGGAACAGTAGTGGGAGTAGTGATACCATGAGGGTATGTATGGGGGAGGTGGGGGTGCGGAAGGGGGAAAACAGGGGAACCCATCACAAGGTTGCACATATAGTCCACCCTCCAGGGGGACACATAACAGAAATGTGGGTGAAGGGAGACAACGGGCAGTGTAAGACATGAAATAGAAACAACAATATATAATTGATCAAGGATTCATGAGGGTGGGAGGGGAGGGGAGGGAGGAGTAAAAGGAGGAGCTGATGCCAAGGGCTCAAGTAGAAAGAAAACATTTTGGAAAAGTTGATGGCAACATATGTACAAGTGTTCTTAATACAATTGAATGATGGATTGACATAAGATTCATAAGAGCCCCCTAATAAAATGATTAATTTAAAAAATAGAGTCAAGAGGGAGAATAAACACTAAGGTGTTAAATGTTCATGTATCCACAGCTACATGAATCTACTTTCCAGTGTACGTGGTCTGAGGGCAAGGCTAGTCACAGCCTTGGCCAATGGTCAGGAGGGATTGCCGGGATTACCTCATTAATTATGATCCTGCTGGCCATCCGTAGGCGGGTCCTGGGTCCAAATTTATTGGTGATCATGATGCGCAAGCCCGCCTCTGGGAAGTTGAACTTGGGCGGGCTGGAGCTCATCACCTCGTCCACCATCACCACGGGGGTCTTGCTGTACTGCGGCTTCTCCTTCACTATGGAACACAGCGCCACGGTTAGAGAAAGCATCACCCCAGGACACACTCAACAGCTGGCACGGCGTGTGGTTGTGGGCCTGGCAGCCATTCTGGAGCGAGGGGCTTCAGTGCCTCCCCTTCATCAAAGTGGGTCACTGGTTCTGCAACACCTGCCATTTTGGAGTGTTGGCAGGCCCTGTGGTCCCCCTACTCCAGGATCACTCATCAGACACCCCACCGCCAGACCCTCCATCTGTGGATGCCCTTCCCTCCTGAGGCTCCCCCCGCCCCCCCCCAGCTGGATAGCTGCCAAGGTCTTTCAGCCTGGGGTTGGGCAGCTGCAAGGAGCCGCGTGGTGCTGTTGGAGAAATGCTGGACGGCTAATGGCAAGGTTGGCAGTTCAAACCCCGCAGCCACTCCGTGGAAGGAAGGCCGATGGTTCCCATACAGGTTTAGTCTTGGAAACCCTACACAGAATGGATGGCTGTGAGTTGGAATTGACACTGTGGCAAGGGGTTTGGGGGGCAGCTGCAGATGATGTCCCTGCCACCTTTCCCCCAGGACGATGGCTGTGTGGGACTCTGTTCCTCTTCTGGTATCAGAGGTGCAGATGAAACTATACAAACGGACAGGGTTACCTGGAGCAGGAAATGCTGGGGAAAGCCCTGGGCAGTACTGACTCTCCTGTCCCACATGGTCCCTTGTCCCTGGGACTCACTTGGTGGTGGCCATCTCTACCCCATAGGGAAGGGGCACCTCCCTGCTCTCTGGGAGGCGAGTGTGGGACCCTGTCTGGTTCGCAGGGCCTCGATGGGGGCATCTGCCCCATTCCCAAGGGAGCAGCCTGCTGTTCCAAGGGCACACAGTGCCGAGCCTGGAGGCTTGGCCAAACCAACACCCTCGGGAGAGTGGGGCAGCTTCTCTCAGACCCATCGCCCCTCAGGAGGCAGAACAAGGCTTTCCTGTGCCCAGACTTCTTTCCTGTTTATAACTGTAACAGGCGTGTCCTGGGCTAGGGGATTCGACACGTGACTCCAGAGTCCTGGAAGTTTCTAGAAACTGAACTCAGGAACACAGGAACACAGCACACTCAAGCAGACTGAGTTTCCCCAGTGAGCGGATATGTTCTCCCCTGGCCCCCAGCTGCCCATGAGGGTTCCTCACCGGCAGTGGGGGCACGGGGGCCAGGTGTAGGGGACAAACCCGTGTGTGCGTTAATGGCACAAACACCACACACACACACACACACACACACACACACACACACACACACAGGCAGCAAGGCTCGGCAGACAGGAGGCGTGTGGGTTAGAGAAGGCAGGCAGGCCATGCATTGGTTGGAGGTGTTTGCCAGCCTCCGGTGAGGCGGGCACTGGGCGGGGCTCTCCCCGGGCTGTGGCATTTTAAAGAAATGCATGTGGCTGGCGTGGGTGAAAGCAGTTTACTTACAATTTAGAAGAGGAGAGGTGTTAAGGAGGCAGAGGTCGGCAGCCAGGGCCAGATATGGTTAGCGTGCGGCGGGTGCCCAGAGCTTGCTCCATGGCAGTGCGGGCCGGTTATTGGAGGAGGAAGGGGTTAGCAGAGGGGCTTCTACAGGTTAGCTCGGGCCTCTGGCCTGCTTATGACCCTCGCCTGGCTGCGTGTGACAGCTCCTCATCAGGCGGCCTGAGTCCGCAGCAGGCCCCTGCTCAGGAGCTCCCGCCTCAGAGGCTGGAGGAAGCGGCCACTTTGGGGGCCAGCTGTCCAGACCTGACCTGTAGACACAGCCCTGTCATCGCCCTGCTGGGGAGCACTGGGCTCCGAGGCAGCCTTTCGAGATGGCAGCCCCATAGCTGATCTCCAGGCACCATGTCCTGGCACTGCCCACCAAGCCCCAAGGGACTGTCCAGAAGGTAGCTCAACGACAGCTCATTTCCCCCAGAGTTCAGCCCAGGTGCTAGGTAGGGGCCCCTTCCTGCCTGACCCAAGTCAAAGTCATCCCCGGTTCCACAAAGGCCTGGGATGGTCCCTTGGTAAGCCCCCTGAGCTAGACTAGCTTTGTACGATGCTGTGGACAGCGGTCCAGGGACACCTGGCTGTGCGGCTGTGAGGACATACTCGTTCTGATGTCTGGAACGGGGTGTCTTCCTGCTTTGGTCCCCAGGACCTTTCCTGGGTGCACTGGGCCTTGTTTTCTGAGCAGGAGTCCTGATGATGTAACCAGCTGTGAACTGTAAGGTCAGCAGTTTGAACCCACCAGCCATGACAGTGGGGGGAAAATGAGGCTGTCTGCTGCCATGAAGGTCCACAGCCTTAACCCCCTCCCCACCGCCCCAGGAACACTCTGTGCTGTCGGTCCGTCGGAGTTGGCATGAACTCAATGGCAGTGGGTTTGAGCTGTTGTTGTTGTTGTTGTTTTTTTTCCCCCCCACTGACCAGGATTGCAATGTAAACGTCTCAGAAAACAGATTAGTGGAACGAACCACAAGGAACCCCTCCTCGTCAACTTGGGTTAGCTGGGCCCATTTGAAAACAGCAAGGTGTTCTCTAAGAGCAGCGGTCCGAGGTTTCACTGTTTGATTGGCTGTCGGGAGGCCTGGGGACCAGAGCTGTGACTTTCCCATGGGGACTGACAGCAGGAATAGCCGAGCCAGCGCTGTGGGGCCTGTGTGTGCCTGACAGAACCCGGCAGCAGGCAGCCGGCTTGCATTCCATGTGTGGTGCTTAGACGGCGTCCTGCCTGGGGGCTAAGGAATTCTGATGTCATCACGGGCTCAAGATTCCCTGACCACACCACTCGGAACAGGATGGCAGTGTCCGGAAGGGTTTGTCCTCCGAGGTGTCCCTGGAGGTCTTCTCGTCCTGTTTCAGCAGCATCTTTTTCCTGGGGGGACAGCACACTGGAGTGGTTCTCACCCGGCCCTCTGGGAGCCTGTGACAGGACAGGATGAGGCTGGGAGGGAAGAGGCCGTCCTCCGTCCACAGCGAGAAGACCCGACATCTACATTCTAGGCTCCCCACCTCCAATTCCAGGAGAGCCGTCTCATCCTTGCGGTTCCCCTGGTCAGAGGAGCCTCAGGGCCCTCCTTTCCCCCATGCTTACGGGAAGTCTTGGTCTTCTAGTGGTCCAGTGATTGTCCCAATGTGAAGAGACGTGGGGGGACATGAACTTGTGGGAGGGAGGGAGAGGGGAGGAGACGGTGTAAATAAAAGTACCCTAAGCGGAGGCCTGGATTTCCTCCTGAACGGGCTAGTAGCCGAGTCCCC